AAAGTGGGCCATACATGGTAGCACACGGCTTTAATCCCAGCACTCAGGAGGCAGAGGCAGGCAGATCTCTGAGTTTGAGGCCAGCCTGACCTTGAGTGAGTTCCAGGACAGCCAGGGATACAAACAGAAACCCTGTCTGGAAAAAATAAATAAAATTAAGTAAAAAATAAAATTAAAGTATATACTTGCAGGAAGAAACTAGTATGTAGAAAATGGCAAACTTTTCTTCTTTCTAGCTCCTACCTTTAAAAAAAATCTGATTAGTTTAATAATCAGAAAAAAAGATATGATTTTAAGTAAGTTAGTAGAAGAAAGACACATTTGCATAAGGGATCAACTACTGAGGTCTTCAAGAAACACATGTGGGATGGAGAAGGCAGGATGGCACTCCACTCTAGCTGGGCCACCCAACCAGTCATGACCATCTCAACAAGAAACACCAGGCTGTGAGCATAAATTTACATTCCCTTGACCCCAGAAGTAACACACAAATACTAGACGGCATTTACAGGAAATGCTGGGTAAGAGGGCTTCTACAACAATGTTCTTCCTGCAGTCACTGACAAAGTAACACAGGCCAAAGCATTTTTCCCCAAGACAGGGTCTTTGTAACTCTGGCTGTCCTGAAACTATGTAGACCAGGCTGGCCTCACTCACAGAGATCTACCTACTGTGATTTAAAGGTGTATGCCAACCCACCTGGACTGCTTTAAAAAAAAGGGGAGGTGGGCAGGGTCTCACTACGTTGTCCTGGCTGGCCTCGAACTCAAAGCTTCATCTGTCTCTGCCTCTCAAAAGTTGTATATCACCACACCCCAGAAACAGTTCTACTAGGAACTGCAAAGATGACCTAGGGCTTCAAGGTTCCCAGATCTGGTAAGTGCATGGAGAATTGTTGGCAGACTGACCAATCATTATATCTAAGAGATACAGTGATGGATGTCTATAATCCCAGCACTTAGGAGGTAAACGAAGGATCAGTTTAGTCATCTTTGGCAATTTAAGGATTCAAGGCCAGCCTGGACTACACAGAAGACCCTATTTCAAAAGAAGGTGGCTTTTGTGTATGCATGAGCACCAGTCCACTATTTTTCATAAAGTCCAGACTGAGATTTTTAAAGATGAATTCATAGTAGCTTTCTCATTGTGTGCTCAACTCAAACTAAAGTTTACTAAACTGAAGTCAACCTTTTAAAAATCACAATGATACAGACTAGAACAAATGGTATTAACCACTTTAATTTTTATTAACATGTATTTTTATGTCATTTTCATACATGTATATATAGTGCACTTTGCTCATATGCAGTTAACTGTTACAGGGTTCCTGAAGTCAAGTGAGTTAACTTCCTGAAGAAGTTATCTTCACTTAATGCTAGGGAGCATCAAGAACCTTCACTCTGCCTGGCAGCATCATAAGCAAGGCTGACTGAGAAGCAGGCCAGGCTGTGTAATCCCTACAGACCACTCAGGTGCTCAGGTCCTCAGACTGCCTCAGATCTGCCAACACAGGCAATCCTAGGAGACCAGGAAATGGACAACAGGAATCAAACAGATCTCCAAAGCGGTAATGACATCATCAAAACAGAGTTCTGGCTGGACTCCCACCCTGTGCATTAATTACTGCATCTTCAAGCAGATGAACAAGGCCAATACTGCATGTCATGTCACCACTAAAGCCAAATCCCAGCTTTCTTCCTTCCCGAAGGGGACATTTTGCAAGTAGCTATTCTTAAATTTGGTTTTGGACTCAGTGTGCAGTACTAAAACTGAAACTGGCCAGGGAGAGTCCTGAAGCCCGTTTTGATTTTACCCATCATGTCAGTTTTACCTTTGGTTTACAAATCACAGCTCACAACCACTATTTAAAATCTGACTTTGTTTTTGCTTTTTATTTAAACTTCAAACCATAAATACAAATGATCTCCAGTCTTTAATGTCGTCTAATAGGTGAAAGATGTGAGGACAAATAACTCAAGAAAACTGCAAAATGTCTCTGCAACTGCAAGCAGTGGAGCACCCAGACCACGGAGCAAGAGCATAGGCTGGCACAGGTAGGAGTCAGGTAACACAATGAAAACACAAAAGCAACCCCAGTGGAGCAGAAAGCAGGAGCCAGAAAGGGGAGCTTCAGAACCCTTCCAAAGAGGACCCAGCTCCAAGATGAGATGCTGTTAAGCCCAGATTAGGAGGCCACCTCCTCGTTATTTCCCCAGGGAAACTATCATCATCCATCTGGGCCATATCTGCTGACTTGACCCACGAGGATGGATGCCAAAGACAACTAGTGGTTCTTAGGGTCTGAGTTTGCACCATATTTTCATGGAAAGGTTAATGACAAATGTACGGTAAAAGTATTATTAGATCTCTTTGAAGATGGAGTAAGAGCAAATCCAATGAGCAAACTTTCTTGCCTCACTAGGTGGGGGAGCCAGAAACTGATTCACAGCCTCTTTCCTACAGGACTCTTCTCTTACAGGATTAGGACCTCTGATTATGAGGCACAATTGGCACCAAAAACAGAAAACCAGAAAAGTCACCCATGTGGTTGCCAACAATTACCTGGAAGATTACACTAATAAAACTATTTTTAGAGTGACTTCTTAGTTCCACCCTCCACCTTCAGAGTAAAACCTGGGCCCTTTAAAGAAGAGGACCAGAAAGCCGTGGGAAACGGGGCACAGGTTTTTTGGGTTTTTTGATCTAGAATGCATCACTAAGTCTGGCAGGAGCTACATTAAACTTTCATCCAGCATATTCAATGTGCCTTTGCTCACACATTACAGTACCTCGCCCGACCCTGTGCCTCCTCTTTGGGCATCGTGGGCAAGTGGCTTCCATTTCCCCTGAAGGAAGGACAAAAATATCACAACAAAAAGGGAATCAAGTTTAGTGTTGATGGTTACACTTCAAAAGAGGTGGTCAATCATAAGCTGTAACATGATCCTCTCAGGAGCAAACCATACAAATGTGTTACCAAAGCTCACAAAGATGGGGGCTGAGGATGGCTCAGTCTCTATACTAGCATGAGGACTTGAGTTCAGATCCCCAGGACTCAGATTTCAATCAAGAAAAAGAAAAGGTTAGATGCAGAGGCATCTGTAACACCAGTGTGGGTATGGGTGTGTGTGTAGGGGGGCACCTTGGAGCTCACCAGCTAGCCTGCTTAGCAGTGGCTAAGCTCCAGGTTCAGTAACAGACCCTGAATCAAATAAAAAGTTGAACAATTGCCGGGCGGTGGTGGCACACGCCTTTAATCCCAGCACTCGGGAGGCAGAGGCAGAGGCAGGAGGATCTTTGTGAGTTCAAGGCCAGCCTGGTCTACAGAGCGAGATCCAGGAAAGGTGCAAAGCTACACAGAGAAACCCTGTCTCGAAAAACAAAAAAAAACAAAACAAACAAAAAAAAAGTTGAACAATTAAGTAAGACACCCAACACCAACCTCCACACATGGATATGTGCATACACTACACACAAGAAGTTGGCAAAATATTTCAAGTTGTTAGCTAGAACACTACACTTTTGGATGTCTGATTCACCTAAGGAGATTTAAAAACAAAACAAAACAAAAAAAACCCTACTTTTTGCAAAAGCCCCACACTCTTTCTATAGCCCTGTCATTCCAAAACCGAGTCCCTAGTGTGAGGCTCACCATTTTACAATTCCTTGAGGACAGGATTCATGCCTGTCTCCCTGAGTCAGGACTCAGTAATGCCTGACACATATATAATGGAAGAAAAACATGTCCTAAATGAAGGCACCAGTCACTGCTCTCCTCTGAACTCACATATTACATAAAGCCCTCAAGTGTATCAGGCTGGGTAGCAAAATTCAACACCAGACACTCTAGGATACCAAACTTTAGCTTGGTCAGCTTCAGAAGTAGCTATAACTCACTTTCCAACTCTTACATTCAAGTCTGAACCAATCCTCCCAAGCTCCAAGAAAAACATACTAACAGGAGATTTTATTAACCCAATCATGCGGGTAATCAGCTGGTGAAGTCACAAGGAAAAGACAAGAGTCTGTTCTTTGGGAAGCCAAAGACACAGTATTTTCAACAGTGAAGAATCAACAAGCTAGGCACCCATCAACTCCTGTAGAAAGGAAGGTGCACACGACAGGCATGCCAGACCTGACTCAAAGAAAAGATCTGGATACGAAAAACTATTCAAATCCAATACATACCTTGCCAGAATTCAAAATCTTCTGATTCGGTGACACTACACTCCGTAACAGCCTTGTAAGTTACAACTGCAAATGCAGCATAGCTCTAAGGTAGGACCAAGAGGCTCTCAAATGACAACACTAGACAGGAGGTGGAGGGGGTTGCTGATGGACAGATAACAGGTGGCAAGCTTTGGAGCAGCTAAAGCAGAAGAGGCCAGAGGCCAGGAGATTGCTAAGCAGCCTGAGTGCCTACACTTCAATCTCTCTCTCTGTAACTTATCAGCGGTGTGACCTTGGACGGGTGACTTAACCTCTCTGTTCTTTGATTTCTCTGTAAGTGGACACTGCCTCGGTGCTTCGGAAGGCTGCTGGGAGAAGACCTGTGCGGTCTTGCCACGCAGCCCAGCAAACCAGACATCTGAAATCTTCACAACGTTACTCTCAACATCCGCACGATTACCAGCCAGGAGGGCACCAGGCCTTCTGAAAGGCACTCAGGAGGTCCTTCCCCCTGGAAGTTCGGAAATAGGATTTACCGTGCAGGACCCTGAAAGCTGCTGTCTCCCAGTGCCCGCGGTGGGCCGGGGCATGTGACGCGCCTGGCAGCGCTGCCTCCGTGGCCGGCCCGTACCTCTTCCCACCCAGCAGGGCTGCCGCCGGGGGACGCTTCTGGCCCAAGAATCCCCGTACCCGCCGCCCGTCAGTTCACCCCGCGCCCTCCGACCTCCGCCCGCCGGGCGCCGCCCCGCCCGGCCCGGCTCTCGCCGAGGACGCCAGGCCCGGAGGCCGGGGCCGCGGCGGGGGAAGGGCGGCCCGAGTCCGCCGCTCACCGCGGGGTACGCTGAGAAGGAGACACAACGCAGGCCGCGACAGAGAGGTCCGACTCCGGCTCCAGCAGGCTCCTAGGAGCTGCCCGGCCCCAAACACCGTAGCCAACGCCGCCGCCTCGGGCTTTATGGCCAAAGCTCCGGCCTTGCTCCCACTTCCGCCACCGCCGCCGCCCCGAGCGGAAGTGCCTGTCACGAGACACAACGACGCTAGGGGTTGGGGGGAGGAGCCCCGCCTCCACGCTGCGTCACGTTCCGGTCGCGTCAGGCCCTGGCCGGCCGTCTTGTGGGGTAAATATGGCGGTCTCCAGATGGGGGCTGCCATCTTTGAGAGTCGTACAGAAGCTGGAGCACGCCATATTGGGCCGAGAACTGATAATGCTGTAGTCCTCCCCGCCCATTACACCCCCCCCCCCCCCCCCCCCCCCCCGCCCCGTTCCAATAAAGAACGCAGAAAAAGAGAAAAATCACTTGGCCTTTCCGGAAAACGCTGGTGAGTCAGCCATGTGGCAGGCAGGGTGTGATCCAGGGTCTTGTGATCCCACCAGTTATAACCTCTAAGGTGGTTGGAAATAATCAGTTACAGTGTCCTCTGTGATGGAGACCCAGAGGTGAACTAGACGCTACTAAATACCTGGGCAGGATAGATGATCCAGGAAAACGGAAAATGAGCTAAGGGATTGCTGAACTGAAAAGAGAGACACAAAAAGGTGATTGTGGCTGCACAGGCGTGGAACTCAGCCCTGGGAGGTAGAGGCAAGAGAACGGAAAGGCTAGGTCTAAAATTCAGTCAATAAAAAGGTCCATAAAGGCAGACCAGACCTCTCGCTAGTACTGAATCTCTTCCTTCCCAAGAATAGAGGACCAGCCCTACTACTCTTTTTCTTTCTTTTTGTTTTGTTTTGTTTTTTCGAGACAGGGTTTCTCTGTGTAGATTTGGTGCCTATCCTTGATCTTGCTCTGTAGACCATGCTGGCCTTGAACTCACAGAGATTCACCTGGCTCTGCCTCCAGAGTGCTGGGATTAAAAGCGTGCGCCTCAGCCACCACCGCCCAGCCTCTTTCTTCCTTCCTTGTCCATCAGAGACACTAGAGAGAGAAAAGTCTTTCTCTCTGTGTGTGCCTTTGTCTCTGTCTCTCTGTCTCTGTCTCTCTCTCACTGGAACTCACCTAAAAGTCCTGAACTCCAATTAGCCTTCAGAATTCTAGGGTTACCTGTCGGGAAAAACAAAAACAAAACAAACAAACAAACAAACCAAAAAAAACAGAAAAACAAGAACTCTAGTGTTATAGGCTCTACCATTATATTTTTTCTAGTAACTTGTATAATAATTCTATTTCTAAGGGACCATCAACTCATTCTCCAGGACCGGTATCAATGAATATCTTTATGCTAAGCTAACCTCTCAACGGTTCTGTCATTTTCCAGCATCTCCAGGCTGAGGAGAGAGCCTCCAATACATGAATTCTAGGGGGATTCACTCAAGCCATACCCAAGCCACATCAGCTGCCTGGTTAGGTACCAGTAGACAATACAGGAAGGGAAGTTGTATAAAAAGTCCTAGAACAGGTCAAGATGGGACCATACCCACAGTTGTTAGGGAATGAGTATCACATCAACTTTCAAAGTTCTCTAGGCGGTGGTTGCACAGACCTTTAATTCCAGCACTCGGGAGACAGAGGCAGGGGGATCTCTGAGTTCCAGGCCAGCTTGGTCTAGAAGAAAGAAGGAGGAAGAGAGAGAAGGAAGAGGAGGAAGAGGAGGAGGAGGAAGAGGAGGAGAAGAAGATAGAGTGGCTCCTGTCTATAATCTAGCACTTGGGAGGATGAAGCAGAAATATTACCTTCAAGGCCAGCCACAAAGTGAGAGACTATCAAAAAATAAAAATAAAAAGCTGGGCGTCATGGCACATTTCTGTAACTCGAATCCACTGAATCTTCAGCCTAAAAGGGAGCTGAGCTCCTGTCTCCTCCCACCTTATATTCCTCCCTCTGCCCAGCCATATCACTTCCTGTCTCCACCTCCCTAGTGCTGGGATTAAAAGCATGTGCCTCCCAAGTACTGGGATTAAAGGTGTGATCCACCACTGCCTGGCTCTGTTTCTCTCTTAGAGTGGATCAGTCTTGTGTAGCCCAGGGTAGACTTGAATTCAGAGAAATCTGTCTGCCTCTACCTCCAGAGTTCTGGGATTAAAGGTGTGTGCTACCACTGCCTTGCCTCTATGGCTAATTAGTGGCTTAGCTCTGCACTCTGATCTTCAGGCAAGCTTTACTTGTTAGATCACAAACAAAATATCACCACACACACACACCTCTTTAATCCTAATACTTGGGAGTCAGAGCAGATGAATCTCTATGAGTTCAAAGTCAGCCTGATCTATATAGCCAGCCAAGATTATATAATGAGACTCTGTCTAAAAAGTAGATAGATAGATAGATAGATAGATAGATAGATAGATAGATAGATAAAAATAATAAGATGAAAATCTCTAGTGACTTGATGTTTAGAGACTCAGAAGCTCAGTTAGTCAGGTGAGGGATTTGAACTGGGAGAGACAAGGAGAGACTATTGATCCGTGCGTTCAAGGAAGTTTGTTATGGAATGTGGTTCACTGGTACAGCACTTGTCTTGTGCATGCTAAGCCCTAGGTCCAATCCACAGCACTGCACAAAAGAAGAAGAGAGAAGAAGAGAAGCTCGTCACAGAGATGGGTCATGAGTGAATCTCTGCACTCTGCAGTGCCACTGAAGGAGCGAGAGACCCAGAGAGGAAAACAGGCTGAAGCCCAGATGGAGCAATAGACTGGTAAAGTGAGTTCAGGGATAGAAACACTGAGATGGAACATCCCCATGAGATGTGGAAGTGACAGATAGTTTGGACTGAGGCAGAGATGGGATAGTTAGGTTTGGGGTGCCTTTGATGAAAATAAGGATTTAAGAGTACAATAAAATCACTCATGGAGAACAGTAGAAGTGTGTCCTTCCAGCAAACTGTTGACTGAGAACTTGGTACATGCTAGGCATTTGTAGGTCCTAATAAATAGGGAAAAACAAGACTTCCCTGCCAAGATCCTCACCACTTGATATAACAGACAGTGTTTAAATAAAAACACATAGTGAAATTTTTGCTTAGATTTCAACAGTTAGATGTTATTTGGCCATTCAACTGAATACTTTGGAACTATAAAGAAGAACAAAGGAATTCTATGTATATTCATATGCAAACTGAAATATCTTCAAGAGATATTATTAATTGACAAAGCAGGGTACAGGATGCAATATATGTGACCTTTCTTGTGGAGGGAAAAAAACTGTAGTGAGTCTTTCTCTGTCTAAGCCAGCTCTGAAATAATGACATGGAGACTTCTTAGTATGAAAGCTCAGCCATAGCTTAGGCTTCTTTCTAGCTAACTCTTTTTTTTTTTTTTTTTTTGAGACAGGATTTTCTCTGTGTAGCTTTGGAGCCTGTCCTAGAACTTGCTCTGTAGACTACGCTGGCCTCAAACTCACAGAGATCCACCTGCCTCTGCCTCCCAAGTGCTGGGATCAAAGGCATGTGCCACCACTGCCCAGCCTAACTAACTCTTATAATTTAAATTAACCCATTTCTATTAATCTACGTGCTGCCAAATGGCTTGTGGCTTTTGCCACATGTCCTGTTTTCTCTGTGTCTGGCTGGTGGTAACTCTCCCTTTCTTCTTCCCAGAACTCTCTCTGTTTATACCTTTTGCCCCATTTATACCTTCTGCCTAGCTATTGGCTGTTTAGCTTTTTATTAAACCAATCACAGTAATGAATACACAGTGTAATCAAATGTCTCACAACAAACAGCCAAGGCAGAATAAGCACAAACTTCAGCAACTAGTAAAAGTGGCTATCTGGCTTACCTATTAAATTTGACAGGGAAGTAGGACCTTATGAATGATTGGAATAAAGAACTGGTGGTAGAGTCAGACTTTCCACAACTGTAGGGATGTGGGAAGTTGATGCATATTCCTGTCTCTCCATCTCATCAGCCTCCACACGGCAGATAGACCAGCAGTCAGGAAAGCAAAGCTGGATATGGCTAAGAGCACACATGACCCATGGTAGACAGCAGGAGGCATCCATGAAGCCCAACAGGAACTGCTCAAACAGAAAACAAAAAATCATCTTTGGCAAACTTGTGTACAACACACAGTCTATAGCTGCATAAATACAGTCATGTATATTACCTTTAAAAGTTATGTATTTTCAGAACAAGGGGACCAGACACCAATGAAAACAGATGGCCCAGCTGACCCGGCATCTCAAAATGCCTCTGTTATAGTCTCCTTAGAATTCTGCATCCAGAACAGCTTCAAGTATGCTGGCTGAGAAGTTCCAGCCTCATAAATTACTCCAACCAAAACTTAACAATTATTCTGATTTTTCTCAAGGTTCCCCCAAAGATACCAGTGCCCACAGAAAACAGGAAGTAGTCTAGAGAACAACACCCACATCCCTAAGAGATGGAATATGGGTGGGATTTGGTTATTTAAAGGATTATAAATATTTGTCATTGTTCAGGGGAGTTGGTTACAAGTTGTTATTGGTCATAATCAGAAAAAAAAAGCTAAACAAAAGAGTTAAATTCAAAGATCTCTTTCTAAAGGAAAAAAGGGGGATATAAAAATAATGAGATCAGCCGGGCGGTGGTGGCGCACGCCTTTAATCCCAGCACTCGGGAGGCAGAGCCAGGCGGATCTCTGTGAGTTCGAGGCCAGCCTGGACTACCAAGTGAGTTCCAGGAAAGGCGCAAAGCTACACAGAGAAACCCTGTCTCGAAAAACCAAAAAAAAAAAAAAAAAACAAAAACAAAAACAAAAAAATAATGAGATCAAAGAGTAGATTATTGTTTTTTGTGATATTTTGACTGTGTTCTGATAAATAAAGCTTGCTTGGAGTCAGAGGGAGGAGCTAGCCACTAGCTGACCACAGAGTTTTGGAGGACTGTAGAGAGAGGAGACAGGAAGTGGTAAGGTGGGGCTGAGAGAGGGTCTTGGCTCTTTTGGACAGAGGAACTGAAGAGGTAGAAAACAACTGGTGGCGGCTCCATTTTTCAGACCTTTCAAGTTCTTACCCCAATACTTGACTCCCAATTTTTTTTTTTTTTTTTTTTTTTTTTTTTTTTGGTTTTTCGAGACAGGGTTTCTCT